ACTTCGTAGGGGTCCCCGTGTCACCAACCTCGGCGGGCCTGCTTCCGCCCCAGACATAACCATGTAGCATGAACACCAGTACCACGTACGCCCTCCTCCACTCGCTGTCGTCCTGCAGGTATGAAACAGATAGCAGAGGCATATGATCCACCGCCTCTCGGATCCGTCGGCTGATCAGGAGGGCCTGGATGTTGGACACAATCCACTCCCACCGAGCGTAGTATGGGTCGGGAAGCACGTCGATGGGGGGCTCGGGTGGCAGGAACCCATGGTCTGGCGAGATGCCGTAGTCTGCCAGAGCCGGAATTGGGGGAAGCATGATGATACTGCAGTAGTGCCAAGAAGAGCACCTGGAAAGGGATTAAGGTGAATGAGAAGGAGGACCACAGCAGCCAGACAAACGTTCTATTTTATTCGAAGCTGCTGCTGCTCACGTGCAATGTCTCGTCAGGCTCAAGGACCCGCAAAGCAGAGCTGGCAGTCGTGTATCTGGAACCTGATGTACGAAAGGAGAAGAAGCTCCGAAATGGCTGTGCGAATGCCAGTGCAAATGTTCGCAGGGCGAACCTCGTGTGACAACCGAGTTGGTCGAGTCCAGGCCAGAATTGAATGAGTCAGGGATCAACCGCGGAGAGTCGGTCTGACTGGTGTCAGGATGTGTTGTATGAGAGCCAGGAAGTGGCAAGCAAAAGAAGAAGAGGCAAGAAAACAAATCTGCGTCTATTCTACCATGACAGGGGTGTAAAGCAGGGAAAGAAAACAAGCATGGAAGGCGGTTTGAGACTCGGAGTTTCTTAGAATATAAATCTCGGTTGCCACGGAAGGCCACGGAGGGTGTGAAGGGGGGAGGAGAAGAAGTTTACCAGGAACGAAGACAGGACACGCCTGGTCAAACCAAGTCAGCAAAACAGAGAAAGGCAATATGCCGGGAAGTTAAATCGCAGCAGACTGTGACCTCCATCCAGAGACCGAATAACCGGGGGGGGGGGGTTTGAGGGGTGAATTAATCAGCGCGAAAATCCGGACAAAGACCGGCGATGAGCTGATTTCCAGCGGGAATTAAGCCGTGCGGACACGAGACAGGGGTAGTCATCATTTCATCCTGCTCGTTTTGAGTTGAGGTGAACATAGGGAAGGTCAACTAATCCGTGGATGGCGAGACAGACGGCCAGAGTCAAGTGGGCCGGACCAGGAGGGACGGCTTCGACTTATAGAGAGGGAGGGTTGCCTGTCGAGGATCGATGGAGGTGGTATTCATAGTCATGGTCGTGGTACAGACATGAAGCAGGGAGATGGGAAGCGTGGGAATTGGTTTGCGAGACTATATAGAGATGAGAATCTTTTCATCAATAGACCGATTCACATTGTTGATACTGGCGGATGAGATATAGTTCCCATGGGGAGAGCTGGCGGATGAAGCATGGAGTAAGTATGAAGCACCAACGGTGGCGTTGGGTGTGAGCGAAAGGGGTGTCCACCGGGGGAGAACTAGTCTGAGTGCTAGAGAATGAACCGGAGGGCGGCAAAGAGGGGGACGAGTGCGAGATCGGGCGGTTAAGCGAGTCTTGGGGCGTGTTCGCTCCCACCCACGCCACCCCATTCCGGTCTGCGGTGAGGGACCGTCTGACGCTGAGGGACCTTACCTTATTGTAAGTTACCAAGCATGAATACCCCGACCTCGGGGCCACCTCGGGGCCAATCTCTCAGCATCACTGAGTACTTGCCTTAGTATCATCCATTCCTCCGGATTCAAGCATGCTTATCTCCTCGTGCTCTTGAACTGTCTGTCTCCCTGCAGTCCATTCAAGCAGAAAATCTCCTATCTTGCACTACATCACCACTCTTCCTGTTGGTAGTTGCTCTCCGCTGCAGCCTGCCCACGTGCCTCAACGCTGGAGCCGCATAACGACTCTCACTTTGCAATTCACTAGGATCATGACGATCAATAGACTAAACATGTCACTCGGCTGATTCTTATGCTGCCATCCCGAATGCCTTCCAAATTAACCGAGATTACCATGATACACTCCGCTTACACCAACTACACCTACAATTCGAACCAGCCAACACATCTCAAGCAGTCATTAAGATCCATTCTCTATACAATCTCACTCAGATCATCCCAGGCCTATAATGTTACACGCTATCCGAACGCCGTACCACCGCTGATATCGTGGATGAGAAAAAGCAAACAACCCAGTGAACATGTCTGCGCCTGCTGCCCGACCGACCACATTCCAGTCATTCTGAGACGCAGAAGTGAAAAGAAAGAAAGGTTTTAGTGCTGGCTCCACTCAATGGTGCTCAGATCAATGCCCTCCTGCACCATCTCCCACAACGGGCTCAGCTCACGAAGGAAGGTAACCCGGTCCTGAACGGCCTTGAGCACGTAGTCAATCTCGCTATCCGTCGTGAAACGGCCAATTCCAAAGCGGATACTGCTGTGTGCACTCTCGTCGCTGCTACCAAGCGCCCGCAGGACGTAGCTGGGCTCCAACGAGGCAGAAGTGCAAGCACTACCGGACGACAGGGCAATGTCCTTCAAGGCCATCAAAAGGGACTCGCCCTCGATGTAGGCAAAGGAGATGTTAACACAGCCCGGGTAGTGACGGGTAGCATCTCCATTGAGAGTGGTGTGCTCCATGCCAAGAAGTGCGTCGCTCAGACGCTTCGAGAGACGGGAGATGTGCTTCGAGTCGTACTATACAGTCATGATGGTCAGCATACGTCTCTCACGCAAGGTTAGATCGGCACCAATCAGTGGCAGGCAACTCGGCTCATCACCCCTGCTATGTACATCATAGAGCCGCGGGAACATGCAAACGCACGTAGCTACCCCCGCGATCACTCAGATGGTGATACAGTTAAAGCGTATAATCATAGCCAATGCGCCACAGAAAGACACTCAGGCAACGCGAGACACGGCAAAAGAAATAAAGAACGCGAACGTACCTCCATATCCTGTGCCGCAATGCGACTGGCCTCACCAAAACCGACGATCAAATGAGGAGCAAGAGTACCACTGCGCAAGCCTCTCTCCTGACCACCACCGGTGATCAAAGGCTCGAGACGAACCCTAGGTCTGCGGCGGACGTAGCACGCTCCGATACCCTTGGGGCCGTAAATCTTGTGGCCGGAGATGGACATCAAGTCGATGTTGAGCTTGTTCACGTCCAGGGGGATCTTGCCGACCGCCTGAGCGGCATCGGTGTGGAAAAAGATCTTCTTAGAACGGCAAAGCTTGCCAATCTCCTCCAATGGCTGGATGACACCAATCTCATTGTTGACGGCCATGATACTGACAAGGGCAGTGTCCGGACGGATGGCGGCTTCAAGATCCTCCATGCGGATCAAACCGTTGTTCTGCACGGGCAGGTATGTCACGTCAAAGCCCTCATCCTGGAGGTGGCGACAGCTGTCCAAGACACATTTGTGCTCCGTCTGGGTGGTGATGATGTGCTTCTTCTTTCCGGAGCGACCGAAGAACCGAGCGACACCCTTGATGCTCATGTTGTTACTCTCGGTGGCACCGCTGGTGAAGATGATCTCCTTGGGATCGGCTCCGATAAGCTTGGCGACGTGTTCACGAGCTTGCTCGACAGCTTTCTCTGATTCCCAACCGTAGGCGTGGGTTCTCGAGTGAGGGTTGCCGTAGATGCCAGTCAGGTAGGGCAGCATCGCATCAAGCACGCGGGGATCGGTCGGGGTTGTCGCCTGCATGTCAAGATACACGGGTCGCGTTCCTTGATCCATGATCGTAGCCTGCTTCAAGATGCCCGCGGTCGGGCTCATCGCGGCATCTCCGGAGACGCTGGAGCTAGGTAGCTCCACGCGTCCGGGCTTGACGCCGGTCTGGTTGGCAAAAGCCTTCTGCTCCTGCTTGATAGCGGTATCGATCGTGACCTGGGCATTCCCCGCCTTGGTCTCGGTGACATAGGATCTCCGGGCCACAATGCCACCGGTGGCGAGCGCCCGTCTGGGCAGGAAGGAGTTCAGGGAGCCATGCTGGAAGCGACGCGCATAGGCTCGGGATGCCTGTCTCAAGGCAGTAGGGGTCATACTGGACATAATGCAGTTAATTCTGCGACTGTACCATGAAAGGTTGGATGGACAGTGAGATGAAACAGATGCAGAATGACAGCAGCAGAAGGGGGGGCGGCGGGTGAGTTCGCTGGGTGAGGAAAAAGTTTGGATCCGGTTATATCATTAGTTGCCGAGCCCGCTAGCCCCGATCGGATTTGTCAGACTGGGATACTCCGGGCATTTCCCGTTTGAGTGGCGGTCTCGGTGTTTAGAGCCAGGCCAGGGGCATTGCGAGGTCGGAGAAAGGATGATTAGATACGGAGAAGTGTTCGTAGGGCTAGTGGAGAGGAGGGGCTGGAGGTGCATATCACTCCGATCACGTAGAATCCTCCAGTTCGGAGGCTGATCGGGGATGGTCCGATTGTTCAATATGGAGTTACGGGGCAACGAGAGGCAATATGAGTACTGTACATACTCTCCACAAATGCGAGCCTAAGGCATCAAGCACCAGGCATAACATTCTTTTGTCTTAATGGGATAAGAATGGCAAGGGGGGATGACGAACAATCAACAAAGCATCTTCGACCCCGGATTAAGCAGATGGGTTCCGTGCTGGCGGTTCCCCAGTTTCAAGGGGTACTGTACCTCATACCTCATCCATAATTCAGGCTCAGGCCCAAAAGGTCACGCACCTGTCGCAGACAGAAGCGGGCAGAAGATGAGAGATATTCTGGTGCCTAATGACATCCAAGGGGGGCATAGGCTGAGGAGGGAGTGAGTGACCGAGACCCGGATTTGCGTTCGGCCCTACGCTTCGATCTCTTTGCCACAACCAGCTGCGATCGACTTACCCCAGGGTCTGCGCTACAGTACATGGATTGTTGCCTTGAAGATGGGCATGAGCGAGAATTGAATATAAGGTTTGGCTCACCTGGGATTGCAGTCAAACTGCTGGATATGATCACACTACTCCGTAGACCGTACTCACTCAAGTCTCCCTTGAACCTCCATTCTTTCCTTGAGTTTCCGAACGCGCTGTCCTCAGCCACAGTTATGTCATAGCTCAGCCACGGTGCCCAGCCCGAGAGAAGCGCAGTCTAACCGTCACCGGCTCTCGAATTACCTTAAGTTACTTAGTCGAACTAGTGACGGTGCTGAACAAAAGGAACTCCTCCCCCCACTTCTTCCCTTTTCCACCACTCTGCTCTCCTGAAGACTCTCCGACCGTGTCAATTCCCTTGTTTACCATCTCAGTCCAGTACTGAACGACCTCCACCCCTCCATTCTATCCAAACCGGCTCCTTCCGCGGGGTTGCGCTACCTGCGGCAAATCAGAGATGAGTTTGAAAGGCTTTCAGAAGAGCATTGTTCGCGCACCGCAACAGTTCAAGGCCCGGTTCAACATTGGTGAAAACACCAAGGACCCGGTCTATCAGGATGCGGAGCGCAGATTTCAGGAACTCGAGAAGGAAACAAAAAAGCTCCACGATGAGTCGAAGAAGTATTTCGACGCCATCAATGGTATGACCGCATTTCTCAATTTTCGGCTCCATCCCACTCCCGTTCCCTTTCCCCCTCTCCAGGCTCCCTACCCCTCACCGTCTGTTGCTGACCGACTTGGCAGGCATGCTGAACCATCAAATCGGCTTTTCCAAGGCGATGACGGAATTATACAAACCTATCTCCGGCCGTGCATCAGACCCCAGTACCTACACTATTGAGGGCAATCCGGAAGGAATTAGGGCATGCGAGGAATACGAGGCAATCGTGCGCGACCTGCAGGAGTCCCTCGTGCCCGAGCTGGAGATGATTGAGACCCGCGTCATCAGTCCTGCGGAACAATTATTGGAAGTGATCAAGGTCATTCGCAAGGTGGCTGTGAAACGGGACCACAAGAAATTGGACTACGATCGCCACAACAACTCGCTCAAGAAACTACAGGACAAGAAGGACAAGTCGCTCAAGGATGAGAAAGCTCTCTACAAGGCCGAAAACGACGTGGAGCAGGCCACGCAGGAATACAACTACTACAACGACCTGCTCAAGGAGGAGCTACCCAAACTCTTTGCGCTCGAAGCCGAGTTCATCCGCCCGCTCTTCCAATCCTTCTACTACATGCAACTGAACGTCTTCTACACCCTCCACGAACGAATGCAGAGTATTAACATCGGCTACTTCAACCTGCAGCTGGACATCGAGGAGGCGTTCGAGGCGAAGCGCGGTGACGTCAAGGAGCAGGCGGAGGCGCTCACGATTGTGCACTTCAAGGCCACGGGAGGACGCCGGCCAGGGTCAAAGTTTGGACCCAAGGACAAGCTGTCCCAGGAGAACAAGGGTGGCTATCCGTCACGACACAAGGACCCCGATGTGGTCGAGAACCCACCACCACCATACACTGCGGGCGCGGCCGGCAGCAGTTACACGGCTGCGGCCAAGAGCAAGCCCGCCCCGCCGCCCCCCAAGCCCAAACCCGCCCAGTTTAGCGCGCCCGTCGAGACTGTCACCGCACTCTACGATTACGAGGCGCAGGCGCACGGGGACCTCAGCTTTTCTGCAGGCGAGGTCATCGAGATTATCCACCGAACCGACAACCAGAACGAATGGTGGACCGGACGTGTCAGCGGCAGGGAGGGACAATTTCCAGGTAAGATACAATCCGCCGGCCAAACTCAAATCCGCTTCAAAGCAAGCAATCACTAACAGTCTTTTCAGCAAACTACGTCCAACTCAACTAGCATAACTATATAATATTTTCTGCGAACCATTACATTTGCCCAATGCCTTTTACTTTGGACTATCTGGAGTTTGAGGGAGCCACCATTGTCGTATCACCTTGAGCTGAAATCGGACATCGTCGGCTGTTTGCCTTTGATGCCTTCCACTTCTTTTCTTCTTTTTTTCCTCGTTTTCTTTTATCTTGCTTATCTTTGCTATAGAGCATTTTGCATGATAACGACCCGTTCGCTGTATATACTTTTTGAATCTCACGATCTGAGGAGGATCAACCTTGCTATCAGTTTCTACGAATTGGCCAATTCTGAGCTTTCAGGGAGGTGGCACTCGCTCGTGTTGACAGATCCATGTTATAAATAGTTGGTTAGAGCCGTGTAGTCAGCGGGCCTGCGGACTAGTGCGCCGCAACCAACATTCCGCAACATCTTGATGAGTCGGACTCTGGTGTTTAAGGTGAACGGTCAACGACGCCTTCCAGCCCCGGCATGGTTCCCCAGGGCCCCTGACCGGGATACATACGCTTACGCTTGTAGGGGTTTCCCACGAATACCCCCTGACCCGTGTCTGTGTCCGCAACCCCGTTATCTCCTCTTTTCTCCGCGGCCAATCGACACTCGGGTTCAGTGCGGGATTTATCGTCTCAAGAAGACGGGGATCCAATCCGGCCTTTTCGTGAAGATGCAGACGTATGACCCGCCATATCCAACGTGCTTTACCTGCGGCATTTAAGGGGACCCGGGGAACCTCCGGGGTGTTTTTTCTGACGAGGTGAGGGACTGATTTCAGGGAATGGGGGGCCAGTGGGCTGGAGTAGGAGGTATGGTGGGTTTGACTTGACCCAGGAGCGTATAACTTTTCGAGGACGGCACAATGCGTTCTGTTATGGGGATGCTCTGGGGTGTTGCTTGGCTCCGGGTATGTGGACATTGGGCCTGGATCATAGTCGGTGGACATCGTCACCACCGGGTTTAGGTCTGGGTGCTCTCATGACGGACTTTCGGGGGTCTTGTGGACGGACTACTTCTGGAGGAGACGGTCTGGTAGCGACTGTACGTGTAACATCACATCTCTGTGCCTGGATTTTGGTGACTGCTGCACTGCAGAAATGGTAGAGTGCATGATGCATGGCATAGCTGCCGACCGGACGATGAGGGGGGATGTCGTTCATGCATTCTCAGCTACCCTGCCGGGCGTTATCTACATGGAATACAGCTCGAGCTGTACTAAACGTTCATTGTGTAGTTGAAGTCCCTCCCTCCTGAGGGAGCCTCTACTTATCGCCGGCCACCGGCCACCGGCCACCACGGACCAAACAAAAACAAAAAGGTAATGACAAGAGTGGGATTCGAACCCACGCCATCAAACGATGATCAGGAAGCTTTGTATAAGCTGTATGCCAAGGTGACCTTAACCTGACGCCTTGGACCAACTCGGCCATCTTGCCTGTTTTATGGGAAGGACTTGGAAAGATAGCTACATGTTCCAACAAAAATGAAGCAGCTGATGACAGTATGATTAACGGAGCAGGAACGAGGATAACTCTGTGGGTATCGAAGCCCTTTTGATAAGTATGAAGAAGAATATGTGCTGGACAGGAGAGCTAGATATAGTACTATCAATCGCGTTGAAAGAATATAGGTACTAGTAGTCCCTTTCACAAGTCCCGCTTGTGTATCGGGGTTCAAAAGTGTACAGTACAGGACGAATTATATATCCACCACGCAGCTGGGATACCGGCCCTATCGACATATCCAACTTCTCGGAATCCATAGTAAATGACACCCAACAAACGCAGCCCCGAATAGCATTACGACCGTCCTCCCAGGTCTGCCCCCTCCCCAACTCATTCACTCCGCACATACGCTGGGACAGTCGTCAAATTCAACCCCGCCAGAAGATTCGTCCCATTCCGCACCAACACCCCGCGCAGGGTATTCTCCACCAGCTTCCCGAGCGGCACCTGCGCTGTCATGGTCAGGTTCCGCATGACCTCGGTGTAGTACGGCACCTGCACGCCATCGTAGGTGACGTCCGTGCCGACAGTCGTCAGATCCAGGTATCCGCGCTTGATCGCCGCGCGCTGGTCCCGGAGCACCCGGCCCAGGTTGGTGATCACCTTGCCCAGGTCGAAGACCCCGCGCACCGGGGTGGAGTGGTTGCCTGGCGTGAGGGTGAGGTTGTCCAGGGTGACGTTGCCTACCAGGAGGGTGTTGCTGTAGAGGTTTAGGGTTGTTGTTCCCTGTCCTCTCGGTGAGGGGGGTATGGGTTAGTTGGCTGTGGTGGGGGTTTCAGGATGGCAGGGGAAAGAGGGGGGGGACGCACAATCTCTAAAGTCATGGCGGATGGGTTGGGGAGGGTTGCGTTGGCGAGGAGGTTTGTTCCATCGTCGTGGGCGCGGAGGAGGAGTTGCGGGTCCGAGATGGAGAAGCCCTTGAAGGAGTTGAGGGCTATATCACCCCGGTCATGGGTTATTAGTCTGTAATCTTCCATCGCATGCCGTAGGGGCCACATACTGGTCTGGTGGATGTCCTTGTTCATGGTGACGTGGGACTTCAACTTGCCGATGTACGCGGTCGTCGACCCCCTGACTGAGAGAGGGGCGTGGGACTCATACACCACGCTGCGGACGTACTCGGTCCACTCGGTCACATTCAACGCGGTGAGGGTGCTGCTGGTCGCGAGGGTGGTGTTGCCGTAGATGCGGGCCGACGGGAGGTAGGCTTTGCCCCAGGTATTGTTCTCGGGTCGGTCGCGGTTGAAGAGGTCCATGGTGATGGGGTCGATGCGCACGGGGATCTTGAGGGGAAGGTTGAGGGCTGAGTCGATCCGGAGCATCATCGAGTCTGGGCGTGGTTGGAGCACGTCGGCGTGGACAAGCACCAGCGTGGACCCGTCTACCACTCGCTGCGCGATGGCAGGGAGGATGACGAGGAAGCTGTCGCTCAGAGAGTCAGCTGGTGCGTATTTTCCAAGCACACAATCGGGAAATCCCGTACAAGATAGGCAGAAAGATGGTGAGAAAGATAATGCTTCCAAAGACATAACAGCACCAGAATCTCCCCCAATGGCGACGCAGTCTCTGTGCCCGCGTCCGCTTGCCCGGTTCGAGCGAGATGCTCCTTGTCTTTTCAAGGTGCTCGTTATCAACACCCTCCGAGGGCAAGGGCCCCCGATGAGTGCCCAAGGCGTATTTGGCATCATCGGAGTCGAGACTGGAAGGATTTGTGGCCATGGCCAGGGCCGTGGGTGGAAGATGTTGGTGATTGAGAAGCACTTCACATGGTTCTTTGCTAGATGGCTAAGCCCATGCACTAAGTATCATTACCGTGAAGAGCCAAATATGGAGGTTGCACAGATGGTTCCGGTGCTACACCCAGTGTAATTGCATGGACCCTGACCTTGTCGATCAGCCGGAGTTACCGTGGAACCCATTGGGGACCGAGGGGCTTGGTACCCAGGTGGGTGGTGGGTGGGAAAGACGATCAGTCCCGATATTTGGCATCCTGAACGGATTAGGGCAACGCTCACTTTTGCGACGAAACGGGAATCTACTGGGTGGCAACTTTGGAAAAGTTCATCAAAGATGCAACTGCAATTTGATCGTTCTAACAACGGCTTCTGAAATTAATCAATGCTCTTCAATGAAACACCAGTTTCATCCCTCCACACTGCAGTGCACGCTATACCCAACATCGCACTTAGTCCTACTGCCAAAGCGCTAAGCTAGTTAACCCTCACTCGATCTCCATATCAATCATGTATCGCGTCTTCCCGGAGGATACTCCCCTCCCACCGAGTCCGCCTCCACCCCGAAGGCCCAGCACGGCAACCACCATCAACATGAACGAGAAAAGCATTTCTGAACACATCTTCGCTGTTCCATCAACAGCCAGCAGCAGCAGCAGCAGTAGTGGCGCCGTCATCACCAATGCCACAAACCCCACAACCATAACAGACATCACGGACATAACCACCCACCTACACAACCTCTCCAACCTCGAGATCCTCCCTCAAATCCTCTGCGAGGGGATCCTCTTCGCCGGCGCCGGCGCCGCCCTCCTTCTCCAAGCCGCCCACCCAGGCATCAACACCGTCTTCGCAACCCCCGAAAACGAACCCAGCCACAGCCGCAGCCTCGCCCACAACCTCACCCAAACCTTGAAAACCACCCTCCAGCAAATCGCCCTCCTCGTCTTCGGCATGTCTCACGAAAAAGCAATCCTGCTCACGCAACTCCACCCTCCTACTACGGGTGGCATTCCATCCTCGACCCTCAAGACCCCATCCCCAAGAATAACCCGCCCGCACACCCTCCTCTGGCTAACGGCGACCCTCTACACAACAGCCACAGACCTCTACCAACGCACCTACGGCCCCATCGACTACCACACCGCCGAACGCGCCTACACGGAGTTCACGCTGGTGCTGCAGGCCCTCACCCTCGGGGAGCTGTGGCCCGCGACCCGCCAGGGGTTCTGGGAGTACTGGGACGGGCAGATGGCGCGGTTGGCGGTGACGGCGGAGTCGCATCGGGTGGCGCGGGAGGTCCTGCACCAGAGCCCCCTCGTGGCGGACCTGTTTCCGCGGTGGATGGCGGGGGTGATGAAGCCCGTGTTCCGCGGGGTGACGATCGAGCTGCTCCCGCCGCGGGTGCGGGTGGCGTACGGGCTGAGGTCGTCGGCGGGGTCGAGGGGGTGGTATCGCGGGGTGATGGCGGGGTTTGGGGGCGCGGTGTATCCTGCGTTGCCGGGGTGGGTGCGGGCCTATCCTTTGAGGGTCTGTTTGGGGGAGTGGAGGGGCGGGAGGGAGGGGGGACGGGTTGTGTATTCTTCTTAAGGATAGGGAAGAGGAGGAGCTCTATGACTTAAATATTTTTAAGTTATCTAGGAATGAATGGTGTTCCAGAGATTTGAGGGGCGGAGTCTGTGTGAATGTCTTCGGGATTAACATGCTTGCTTGGAGTTTTGACTGGGATACAGCTATACCTATGAGAATTATGGTTGGCCTCTTTGGGGACTATCTCCAACTTATCGTCTCCATCTAGCAGTAGCGTAATTCACCATGAGAACCCGTTCACTCAGCAGACTCATCTAGACCAGGTCTTGCTTCGCCTATCCCTCCGCAATCCCCCCAATTCCCGGAGAACAAAACCACGCCTATGCTCCAACACAGCACGAACATTACCACACAAAATTCATACCCATTATATACTATAGTTAGACCAGCTACCTATACCACCCCCACCCCCCCCCTTTGTCCCCGCAAAACCAAATCACGAACTCCCAATCAACGCATTCATAATCTTCCCCACATCCGAAATCAACTATCCCGCCCAAGTTAGCCCAGTCCTATCCCACCTCCTGATCCAACAACCTGCCCCCAGCTAGAGACAGGGCTCGGAGGGGACAAACTCACCGGATTCGCCATATCAATCAGCTGCGTCGTCTCGTTGACGAACCCCGGCGTCAGCAGACGGTCCGCATTGTCGAGGAGGCGCTGCAGCTTGTCAATGTTGGGCCCGGACAGCAGCCGCTGCAGGTTCTGCGGCGTGTCGCCCCCGAGCAGCACCGCGCCGCCGCTGACGATCGTCTCGAGCTTGTCGACTGTCTCCGGGCTGAGGAGCTCGGTCGCGCCTTGGAAGATGGTGGGGAGCTCGGAGAGGAGGCCGCTGGATGCGGGGGCGCGCGGGGCGATGGGGCTTGAGGCTAGTGGCTCAGTTGCTGTGGTGGTCGTGGCTGCGAGGGCGAAGGGGGTGAAGAGGAGGGCGAGGAGGTAGGTTTTTAGGGGCATCGTGGTGCGGGTGCGGCTGCGGGTGCGGCTGCGGGTGCGGCTGGGGTTGGGGTTTGGGTTGTGGTTGTGGTTGCGGGAGGCAGAGGGGGTGGTGGTGGATTGTTTGGGCATTTTGGGTGGATTATGAGTTTTATGAGAGGAGGAAGTGATAGGATATTTGGGAGTGTAGAAGGGGGGATGGATTACTTTGCACAGAGGGGTAAAAGGGTTTATAGATCTAAACGATCTAAGGTTGAGAGGAGGGTGGTCCCTGGGTTGACGGGTGATGGTTGCAAAGTTTATACCATGAATGGGGTGGTGGATTCAAAACAACGGTGTTTCATGTTGGAGCTTCCAATGCACTGGGCATTCCGAGGCTGATGGATATCATGTATCCATGTGAATTGACTATTCGGAGGGCATGCGAACCAGACTTTGGTATTGTGGGCCTTCTCAGGGACAAGTGCTCTGTGCTTGGTCCCCCGCACCCTGGGCCTACCAACCCGGCCGATCACTCAAGGACATCTGGCAGACCGGAAATCAGGGTGGTTGTGAAAGAAAGAGCAGAAAGTGCGGTGCTACGGACTACATTTCCTCGTACGTATCTGAAGATAACCAGCCATTGCACCTCTGCTGCAACCAGGGTCATTCTGACGGTGAATGTGTTTCGTCCTTCGGAGAATGGCTCAATGGGGTAGTTCGCGATTCGACCGCGACCCTTGTATTAGGGGAGGAAGACATGACTGGTAAAAAGGTGGGAAATGCCCGTTTTTGAGTCTTCGGTTTGACGTTGGTGGGTGTTTCAGGTTGAATTGATTCTGAGGAATTGCTTATCCGGGTCTAGTGCGATCGACGCTCAGGGCGAAGTTTAATTAGATTAAGGTATGGTAGCCGATGACCAGCTTCTGGCCCACTCGAGTTTGTCGAGTACTGCCTTTGATTCCTAGTGCCGTGGAAAATCGATATCGATACCATATAAGCTTTGATGAGGTTCGTACAAGAAGTGCCTTTATGGGCAGAGGAATTGGCCGCGTTTTGGCTCTCGGCAGGTTTCGCATAGTATAGCTTAGCCCTGGACCAGGTGATTATAGATTTGACTGGAAGACTAGAATCTGAGTTTTTCTTCAAGTCCAGACATTAATGTACGGTCTAGGCCCCATAGGCATATACCAGTGATACGCCACCACAGATGAAGTAGTAGGAACGGACCTGTTCCACACCAGGATAAAGTTGGAAACCGGCATGAACTCCTGTTCACCACAAGTAGAACCCGTTTCAAGATGATCGAATTGCGGTCACCATTCGCATTTATGCTGTACATTCTCATGGATTGGTTCGAGCACATGGCCGCCATAATCTCCTAGAGGACTCGACCCGAAACTCTATCTCAGTCCCTGATCGACAAGCTCAAAAATGGGTCTAACCAGGCACAACACTCTCCTAACTTTGATTTACCCATGATTCAATGAGTTCGGAAAAGACAGACAAGCTCATTAAATCTCCATCAGCCTGCTACAGTTTCCGGTGCGATACCAATAGCACTGACGATCGGAGATATAGCAACACTTCCCTCCCGTGAGTCAACACAACGCACCACCTCTACTCAACCCAGCCAAATTCACACCTACAGAGTGCACAGCACTACGATGAAGTTCTATCTCAGCCCCATTCTGCTTCTCGCAGCACCCGCCTTCTGCGCCCCCGAGCCCACCCCAACCGAGTCGACATCACTGTACGGCCCCCCTTCTGCCACTTCCATATCATCTATGATCTGTGTGCAGAACCGCTGATTCAAACAGAGCACCCTCCAAAACCATCCCCACCCCCAACGCAGACCCCAAACCCAACCCCAACCTCAACCTCAACCTGAACCTGAATCTCAACCTCAAACGCTCCCTCGCATCCATCGCCCCGCCTCCCCACTCGATCATCACCCAGATCCCGCCCAGCGCCCTCGCCGAACTGCTCATCCCCTCGCGCCGCAGCGCGCTGGCCAGCGACTTCAGCAAGGGCGCCACGCCGGCGTGGTACGGGGCGCTTCCGACGGAGGTGAAGCGATATATCTCCTATGTCAAGGAGGAGATTGCAAAAGATGAGAACGAGAAGGGGTCTGGGTCGATGGTAGCTGGAGAGGAGGGGGTGCGGGAACTGGAGGTGAAGAAAGGCGAGGATGGGGTCACGTCGGGGGCGAAGACCAGTGGTGGCGGGGCTGGGTTGAAGGGGCGCGTGGGGGAGTCGGTGGGCTTGATGCTTGTGGTGTTGCTTGGATTGGGCGTTTGGGGCGGTTGGGTTTAGGAGGTGGGTATGCTTGGATGTTGGGGTATTGTGGGTGCTCGAATGGATTGTGATCTTGTACTTCGGTTTGTGTTTGTGGAGAGGGAAGATTGTCGAAGGTTGTGGGTGTACTTGCGAGTATCTGGGTTGAGTGGGTGTTTGAAATATTGCTTTGATATCCAATCTGCGTTGACTTACACGCAGTGTTAAATTGACCAAGGGGAATAGGAAGACCTGAATGCTGAATGGCAAGCTGTTCAATCTGAATCTTGGTCGCTGTGCTATTCGTTCTCGGGAATATTCCAGATTTGAGGGCAGGGATCTAGAAATATTTCTCGGGATAATCTCTTCATGACAGGGTACTCAAGACTTAGAGTCAAAACCTCCATTTGTCTACCCCTACCTATATAGAAGATTAGAAGGAATCTGGGCACCAATGCCAGGCAGACGTTCGTGTGTGGAATTGCCTGCCAAATTCCCCGAAAATGCTTGATAGTCAGATTCTTGTCCTCTACGGGCTTCTTCACAAAAAGAATATCAATAATGCCGTCACTGTTTTGTACTGCCACGTATATGAGAATGTGGCAGTCAAATTCCCAGGCAACAAAACACAAGCGTGTGCTGGGGATGTGCCCGTCCCCGAAATAGGTATACCATCATGTGCCTGGTCGAGCTCTGAGGATCCACAGGCAACAAGATCATTAGTACCTTTGCAATGGTAGAGAATAAGCATGACCTTCAAATTGTCACCACAGGCCAACAAAAGCGGGCCACCTCGAAGTCCTTTGTGTCTCGAGTCCAGCCGTGTTAACCTTCTCCACTCCTGACCAGCCTCGCGGACCACTTCGCATAAGACACAAACTCTAACTTATCAAAAGGTGCTTGACATGCTTCCAACGTTGACCGGAAAGTGCGAAAGTGCGAAAGTGCGAAAGTGCGAAAGCAAGAGGTGATTTTGTAAAGACCCCCGTGGCGACCGAAGTTCGGAGAGTAACAATCACAATCACAACAAGGAAGTTGCTAGCAGAAGAGAGGAAACTGCCATTGATGTCTCAAGTGGATAATCAGCTCACTGGATCGCCCTTGGCCAACTCCCTCTCTCCTTGCCCACCTCTCGGACTTTACATTCTTTTGCAGGCACTATATCCCATTCACAATGGATCCGGGTTCTTCGCTGGATTACAACACCTGCCATGGTATCCCCAAGCCCCGACATCCTCTATGCTAATATTGACTCTTACTTCACCGTCCGCGAGCACTTTCCGCCTCAGCCCCGACAGACCTTCGACCTCCGTTTGTCTGGACCCGAGCAGGAGCGACGAATAACAACGGACATTCTGACTCGGTGCATTGAGAACAGTCCGGATTCTGGTGAGATGGGCACGCAGAAACTCACTCTCCGGACCCTCAGGGTGCTACAGGTCCGCGATGGGTCGACTTCGCAGGTGGTGCTGGTTAAAATCATTAAGGGTGACCTCGCCAACATGCTGGTAGTCGCCAAGTTCTATGATCCGCTGTACTACAACCACCGGAAATCTGAAGTCGATCCGTTCCGCTGCGTCGAGGAGGAATATACCCGGGAGACGGCGGTTTACCAACACCTGCATCAGCATGGTCTGAGTGACTATATTCTCCAATTCTGCGGATCCTATTCGCTTGACATGCCAGTTCCCAATAGAGGCATTCGTCAGGTGCGTCTGATCCTCGTGGAGTTCATGTCGGGGTTCTCCATGGACCGTCTTCGTCTCGACCGACTCGCCGTGGAGACCCGGCAACACATCATGAAGCAGATCGTCAGAGCCGAGTCCAGATTCTACGCCGTCGGCCTGCGGCACAAGGGCCTTTGCAGGCGTATCATCATGGTCGAGGGAGTCAGGAACCACGACCCTACCTGTCGACCGTACATCACTATAACTGACTTTGGGCAAGCGTATATCGGTTGCGCCACTCGCAAATCTCGCTGGTCGCATGAGGACCGCCTCCTCCCCATTTACATCACTCCTATTATCCGCTGGTCTTGCGGCTGCGTGTCAAAGAAGAACGATTTCGTAAAGTGGTGTGATTGGGACTGGAAGGACTGGCTGTGCAAGACATTCGCCAAGGACGATCAGCAACCATACCACTCCACAGATGGCCAAATGGGCCCCCGACGATGTTCGTGGGGATAAATGCTTCGGCGACATATTTGGTGCTCAGTATCAGTGGTGAGCTTACTTGCCTGCCTGCCCTATTTTTGAGCCAAATAGCGTCGATGCTGGATGGTGCTACTTATCCTATTGTTATTTGGAAACGCCTTTGATGTCGGAGATAGACCTACCTTCAACCTTCACCTTGTCCGCTCCTTTCACTATCTACACTGTAGTAGTGCATAGCTTTCATTGGTCCCCTACCGCCCATTTCATTTTGTTTTTCTGCCTTGCGACCTTCTTGGAAAAATGCTGACAAGCACTTGGACTCCATCCATAGCTCATATAGACACTAGCTAATTTCAAACCACGTTTATCCTCGCGCCTTCCTCGGACAGTTTGAAACTTCCTAGAAGTGTCAATGTATCTGCACTTCCAATCACACACCATGAAATGAGAAGACGGGGGCTCTGAGTACAGCGAGACCTGATCAATCCCGAAACACGACCGACGACCGCCAACTCTTCCCGCGGAGCTCGCTGGGGACGGAAGAAACTCATCCCAACCTGCACCCTTCTCGAACAGCTTTGTTTTGGGGCTACGAACGAGACCAATTTGATGAACCAAAAAAAAGGCAGGGATGGCCTCTGAGGAGAATAGTCACAAAGCAAAAAGAGATGGTCCCAGAGGGGCTCGAACCCTCGACTTTAACGTTATTAGCGTTACGCTCTAACCAACTGAGCTATGGGACCCAGTTGATATTTTTAGCTAATACCTAAAACTTATAAAGCAACGGCTAATAGTGAGCTGTGAGGTTGAACTCGTTCAGTCCTCAACCGCTCATACCCGTCGTCGCCCGCCAGGATTGTTCCAGCGGGGCTGAGACCAGTTCTTCTCGGACAGCGGCATTGCGGTGAACCCCAACATTCGAGATAGCAAATCAATCCCCTCTCCGCGGCCATCCGCTGGCCAGATTGGCCCACACACGTGGAGGGGTAAATGCAATGCAGCATTTCGAAGACCTTTCCTAGGTTGTCTGGCTCCTTTGGAAAGATGACGAGCAAAGGTCCGATGCAAGGGTCCAGTCCGCATGTTTGGCTTCCGGACTTCCGACCCTCGCGTGCTGGGGCCGAACGGACCAATGTGCATGCTACACCTTCGAGGATCAGGCTGACCGCAGCGTGACCAGCTGCCGCAGACAGAGGGGCCGGGAGTGGGCTTTCGAGCACCACCCCCGCATTGCAGGGATACCAGAATCCGATGCTTAAGTGCTCCGGCGGATATTCTATTGGGCTACGCGGGTCAGAACGAGTGGACGCCAGCAAGGCTGACTGACGCAATCGAGTCGAGTTCTAGGTCTAGCCACGAGCTTGGTTGGGGTGGGAAGAGCAGAAAAGAAAAGAAGAGGAGGAGAGGGGCCAAGATAAGTGCTTACGCCTCGTTCTTTCTTACCCTGAAGGATGCAGAACCCCTCGGTGCACCTTATATACTTTGCAGCACCGAGCATGGAACTGGTACCTGTTTCAGACCAGTCGCGCCGCTTTTACGAGCGGGGTTGATGCCTGCCCCTATCATTTGGGTATCCTGACTCCCTGAGGGATCTGATCCTGGATTGATGCTGTCATTGGATGAGAGTCTGGAAAACGCTTTGGGCTCTGGCTCTGGTTGGAGATCCGAAGCGAGGATCATCGTGGGCGCGGTGGGCGGGATGACCCTGCTTACCTGCGGTAGGGGGTCAATTCCGTCGTCATCCGATCAGGCTGTCCGGCCATCAGTCGGAGTATGCGTGCGCCATTATCCATGATTCCTAAGTTACCGATCATCGACCATCTTGGTCAGAAAGGTGGATCATACGTACCCGGCTTAACCTTATTGCCTGTTCATCTGTGGGTAATTGGGATGAATGGTCATTCAGCCTCATCATTGTTATCCTCATCGAAATCAATCATCACGGTCATTGTTCCTGCCTGAGGCAACCAAACACGACGACCACGAGCGTGACGAGCCTCATTCCTGTTGAGCCGCGTGCTTCCTTCCTTTGTCCTTCTTTGACAGTTTCCATCCATCCCACTTGGTTCCACTACTACGGAGTACACTTCAACGGTTCAACCTGAAATGAGCGAGGAGTCACCCTTTCCCCACTGACGGAGTGGAGATTGAGGCTCAACTGGGCCGTCCGACAGTCCGGAACCTCTCGTCTAGAGTTTCCTTTCGGCTGTTGAATCCTGATCCAATTGCCCTCCCTTGCGTAATCCCGTCGATAGTGGCTCGGGGTTACTGGCTTGGCTTGCTGCTGCCAGGCTCCCAAGATTTCGGTTCAATGATTACTAGACTATTGCACACGTAGCTAGCTAGCTACCTACCTACTCCGTACCTAGTCCCGAGTCGCTAGTTCGTTGAGCCTCTTCCACTTGAGTCCCTGAACGACTGCAACAGGTCTCACGAGGGCAAGAGAGCGAATGGGAAGAGACGCTACTATTATTAGCGCCGATCGTTGAGGGCAGAGCAAGAGGTCGTACTGCTGACGGCACTGAAACGCAGACGCAGCCTTGTCTAGGGTTGTCCCCCTGACAATCACCCTAAGATACCGTGGATGAGTTAACCCGATATTGGAGGGATGTCATAACACAGCAAGACACAGAGATCATGCCTGATCTGACCGCCCTTCTAATTAGGGATGCTTTGAGTGGGACGGTCGATCTTCGTTGTCGCAATTGTGTTCGAGTCGGTCGTACTTGTGGAGCTTTGCGACTATTACTGTCGTTGTTGGTATTGTTGCTGCTGCTTGCTGCGACTGCGACTACGTCCTGGTCCTGGTGGTCCTGGTCCTTGTTGATTACTGCTGTCACTCGGACCCTCGGACCCTCGGTGACTTTTTAGTCTTCCTTTTTTGTTCCCTCGGGCGGGTCTCTTGCTAGAACTTGTAAGAGAGAGAAAGCAGAGAGAGGAAGTAATCAATTATTATTATTCCCACTCACTACTACACGCACTAGCTCACCTACCTTACTTTTCGCCCCCCCTCTCTTACTGATCTGAGCTGCTGCCCCGGTTCATTTTTCACCCTCCCAGGAATGAGACGGAAAACCAGCCACAGAGCCGCATCAGGACCCAAAAAGTACAAGTTCTCACCATGACGGCTGATCTCCCTCTTGACTCGGCCCAGGCGTTTCCTTTGCATGATCGTTGATTGTCATGGCCTGGGTGGATATTCTTCAGCTGGATTAATTTTTTTTTTCTTTATTTCTTTTTGTCTCGCTCTCGATTGCTTTCTTGCCACTGCTCAGATCTTCAGCTGAGACATGCGATTGGCTCGGAATTGAACTTTTCAGCGAAATTCGACCGATCCTGTCTTGAATGAAGCTCGCCACAGTCCACTTGCACTGAAAAACACTGCATACTTCAAGGCTTGAGGCTTGGTTGATTGCCTGCGCGGCACTGCAGCGCATTGCAAACATATTACCCGTTGTGGTTTGGCTGAATTGGGCATCGGGTGCCCCCTCGACGTCTGCCTTCCTAACTGGGTTACCAGATCACCACTCCATACTTTATCTCCATCTGACCGCCTTGATTTGTTTCTTCCATCCTTGTAGTCAACAATTCTTCCTCTCGTGATCATCATCGCTTGATTCTTTTTCCAAGGACCAGTGTCTGCGACACTCGATTGTCTCTTTCCTGATGGTGGTATCGGTCTAGACCTACAGTTTTCCTACCGTCTTGCGTTCCCCTTCCCTCCGCCGCACATGGTTGATAGTCCGAAATGGACACCGCCCATAGACCCTCCAAGAATCTGGACTGTATTCCCTACGATGTGTTCTATCAGATCGCGTCCAGACTGGGGTCCCAAGACCTGGTCCAGCTGGGCCGCGTCAACGGGGCCCTATACCGTCTCGTCCAGGACGAGAACATTGCCCGCAAAGCCATCGAGGTACCTCTCTCTGATCTATACGGACAGGGGCATGACTGACTGCCCTAGAATGAATTGCGTCATACCACCGAAGGCCAGGAAGCCATTGCCGCCAGAAAAGGGTACCGCAAAGCTCTGGGCCGGGTGTTCGACATCCGCGAGGCCTTTGCGACTGCGCAGCCATACTCTGCTTCCCTCCTCGCCTATGGCAGCTCATTTCTCTACGGTGGGGGTGCCCTGACCTACATCTACAGAGAGGAGATCCGCGTACTGGACGTTCACGGCGCAAGCTGCACTGAGCAAGTGTTGAACCTTCACCGAGTCGTGTCGCGAATCATCCCGTCCTGTGACCCGAACGAAGAGACGATTCACATCCGGCTCATGCAGTATCACGACTGGAATCTGGCATTCACCGTGGAGCGCGAAGACACGGAGGAGACCTGGTTGATAGCCGTGGACATGCGCCCCAGATTGGAGTGCCACAAGACAGGCCGATTGCGGTTCATCACTCGGTTGCCGGACACCCGACGGCTGTTTGTCCGGCTCAACACTCGGTACATCTACTGGGGAACACACAGCATGCTGAGCGCCGACGGGCATCTGCAATGGGTGGTCGAATGCGCGGATCTCCAGACGGGTCGCAACACCACCCGGGCGCCTCTGATCCTCGACAACTTCTCCGGACACGATATCTCCCAGAACGTATGTTTTGGCGTCTACGATGACCACCTCTATGCGGTGTCGACGATGATCGGCCACGAAGCGGAGGAGATTGACTGGACCTCCTACTATGTGTGGCTGTGCGTGTCGCCCACGGAGGAATCCAAGCAGAGCACGATCAACTTCAAGTGGCGGCGGCAGCACCGCGAGGGCCCCGTGAACGACACCTGGTCGGATCTGTCCCTCCGGGTCGACGAGGCCACGAAGCAGCTGATGATCCTCGAGTGTCGCCGTGAATGGATCAACAGCGGCAGCGAGAACATTCGCACGTACTACATGCAGTCGCTGCCATCGCCGGCTGAGATCGAGCAGAGTAAGCAGGAGCGCTTCGCCGGCTTACTCCGTCGGACCCGCAACGCACCACCCCCGCCCGCCGTGCTCCCCGACGAGCCCCTGACGCGAACCCTGGACTCGACCAACAAACCCCGCTACGAACCGCCCCAAAAGCGCATCCGCCGCCACTACCACCAGGAATACCCCCCGGGAACCGACCTCGCCAAACGACGCGACTTCATCCTGGCTCGCACTAAATACCGTACCTACAATCTCTCGAGTTCGACATTTGTAGATCTTGTTACTGATGCGGCTGGACCCCACCCCGGCAACAGCAGCAACAGCACCACCACCTCGGGTCGCATCCCCACCGACCAACTCCGTCTCCGTCTGACGTCGCGCAAGCGCAAGTCCCCCATTGACTCTGCAGGTGAAGAGGTTGAGCCGGGGCTGCTGTACCCACCGGAGCTGGACGATCAAGACTCGTCCAGCCGCCAACCAATTGACCACAGTGAAGAACGCTTTGAGTCGTTGGGGGTGCACATGTGGCCCCCCGACCACGCTCCGGCGGCGCTGACGCAGCTGCTTTCACCCACGAAGCGCATCGCCTCGTCCGAGGTGCGCGCCGCCGCCGACGAACGCTCGCTGGTGTACTCGGTGGATGCGCCGGACTCTAGCGATGGCGACCAAGCCATTCTGTTCGTCAACTTCGATCCACTGCTACGGCTGCCTGGACTGCAGCGATTGGACATGACGGACGGGCGTGTGCGAGCGATGCAGCGGCCACCGCAGGAGGCAGCTGAACCGACTCATCCCGCAGGCAAGGGGGAGCGCGTCCGCGTCGGCGATGTTGCGCAGATGGAGTCGACTAGGCATACGAGTTTTGGAGCCAAGCGGGCGGCGGCGGCGGGGATGGGGATGGGTAAAGGGGGAAGGGGGTCACCGGTGCCCTCGGTGCGGGAGGAGGGGGCGATGTATCTGCGGCTGGGGAGGGGATTTTGGTTGCGATAGGGTAGGGTGGGCTGGCGGATGGTGTATGGTTTGCTGGGCAAACCGCCGTGCTAGGATAGGGGAGTGGCACTGCCCTACTGTCTGTGTCTACTGTCTAGTGGTGACCGGGGCTGAGCACTGCCTCAACGTGCCGTGTGGCTGTGCAACGCATGACGGATGGATGGCTGCAGCCAGTGACGCTGGCAGCGCAACCAAGTTATAGATGATAAAACCCGTGATAAATTAATTGGTCAATAAGAAGCTGCATATATTTAGAGGTCGTGAGTTTTGTGTCTCGTCTTCCATGGTGTAGCTACTACTTAGTACTAGGTAAGGTATGTAGAAGGGATCTCCTCCGATCGGATAAGCAGTAGTAAGACTACAGTCAGCCTTGGCAGCCCTGACGCGTTAGTCAGATGTAAGCTTACGAGATCCTTACATGTCACGTCCTCCCACCTCACCGGTAGGCAACCCCTCCACAACCGCATTGTCTTTGGGAATGGTAGTGGTAGTGGTAGTGGCCACAACAGGTGATGTCTTCCCTCCGTGGCGTGACGAATGCCAGATTCCGCCTGTAGGATCAAGGATCCGCGAGAATTGCCTATCTGGGTGGTGGTGGTGGGAGTTGGTGTGCTTGTGCACGGCTCTGATTACCGATCTTGGTATGCTGGGCATCCCGCCGCGGGTCTACGTAAGGACGTAAGGCCTGAATGTATGATCTGATCTCTGGTATGGATCCTGATCTCGATTCTTTTTGGTGTTGTTGTGTAAGTTCTGTTGCGGTTGCGGGTGCGGTAAAGCGTGGTGAGGCTCTTAGGATCTGCTGGATTGGGCTTGTACCGTGCAGTGCGGTGCAGTGCGGTGCAGTGCAGGCAGTATTCATGGTGAGGCTCTAGCACTACACCCTACAACACAAGATCATGTTCTTGTTTTTGAGGTGTACGGTCTGTCGTCTGGTCTGGTCTGTCGTCTATGGTGCCGTATAGCTCCCCCTCCTTTGGACAAGTAGTGATATTCCTCGATACCGTTTGGGCTATACCTCTGAGTCGATATATTCGGCATCATGCCGCGTTGACGCGGGTGTATTGATTCAGATTCATGAGTGGATTCCCGGCTCTGTTCGATGTGTCTTGGGTTGGGCCTCTTGGGTTGATGTAGAGTTTCACGGGATGAGGGTTCGTCGGGGTTTTTTTATCTGGTTAGTTGTTGTGGTTGGGCATGAGCGTGAGGGTAGTAGTAGTAGTAGTAGTAGTAGTAGTAGTAGAGTAGTAGTAGTAGTAGTAGTAGTAGTAGTAGTAGTAGTAGTAGTAGTAGGGGGGGTTACGTATCCTTTGCCATGTCGCTCTCAGTTCACGTTCACGTTTATTCTCGGAATGGATTTAATATCCTTCGGATTGGGGTTATGCGGGATACAGTGCCAGTGCCGTGTAAATGCAGAGGCTAACTAACCCGCCCCCCCCGACTGACCGCGAGCAGCTGGGCTTACGGTACAGCTTACCTACAGTAGTAAGCTACAGCGTACAGCTTGCCCAAAACGGCGAGTGGATCCCCTCCCCTCTGGTCCATACGGTACCCTCCCTACCCTGTAGGTACAGTACCCTACCCATCCCGACCCGAATCCAAGCCCACGCCCGTCCGTATATACGGGGGTCGTTGTGTGTAATCTACATCTGACGTAGTAGGGCTCTAGCTCCCGCTCGTCGACGAGTCTAGCTTGTTTGGCTGGGGCTGCTGGGGCAGCTGGGTAGCTGATAGGTTGCGTCGGGTATGGCAGGTTAGGGAGTGGAGTGCGTGCAGTGGAGCGGGTGTCTGTGCTTCTTCGTATCTTGTTTTCTGACTGGCTTGATCTGACTTGAACTGACCTGATCTGACCTGGGTAAGGGATGCTCGGGTGAGGGTTGGGGATGTGGTCTTGGTCATGGGTTTGCGGATCTCGGATTAAGTTTCTGGTTCTTGGTTCTGGGTTCTCGGTTCTGAGACAGTGGGGGTACGAATACGGGCCTCATGTCTTGGGCTGTGGGAATTGGAAGTTATGATGGGGCTTTGGTGGTGCTCGGTGTTGAGGTTTGAGGGTTGAGGGAGGGGAGGGGAGGGTTCTTGTGATGGGGGGGGGGGGGGATGGCGTGAGTCATGGCTCATTCAGGTTCTGGGGTGTAGCTTGTCGGTTGCAGTGGGGATGGAGTGAGACTCTATTCTAATCATTTCTAATCAACCTGACCCTTCTAATCAGTTCGGGGTGGGTGAGGCTCTTCCGAGGTGGTCAGGTTAGCTAATTGCCTGAATGGGGTAGGTGGTGCGAGCTCACGCGCTATGACCGGGGGGGCGGGGGGATATACTTGAATGGTAGAATGAGTTATAGGTGGATGCTGAGGGGATGGGGTGAGACAGAAGCTTTTACCTACTAAGAATGTGTAACCACAAATCCATGCGCACAAGCAACAAGATTCACAACTTCCACTCCCGCTCCTCTTCATGATCCCTTTGGCCTTGAGCAGCAGCAGCACCACTATCAGAACTATACCCACAATCCACTGCACCCCCCTCCGCATTCAACCGCCGCACCTCCGCCAAAACCCCCGGATACGTCCAATTGAACCTTCGAAACCGATGCACCTCCTGCGCGGACTTGCGCCCGCGCGCCTGCACATTGTTCACCTGGATGCGCGACGCGCGCGGCCGCCGCACCCGATCCAGGTCGCGCAGCAGCGCCGGCACAGCCTCGGCCGTGACATGCTCGCCCAGGAACAGACGGAACGCCTCCGCGTCCTCGATCGCCTGGGTGCCGCCCTGGCCCTGGTGCGGGGTCATCGCGTGGGCGGCGTCGCCGATCAGCACCGTGCGGCCGGCGATATAGCTGGGGAGCGGCGGGGTGTGGTGGAGGCGCCAGACGCGGAGGCCGGGGGTGGGAGCTGCGCTGTTGCATGTTAAACCCCAAGTTCCATCTTGATGAGAGTGTAGTCAATTACGGCAAGCTTATTTCGGAGGAACACTCACCGTAGATAATCCCCCACCCAGTCGGGGAAGTCGCGGAAATGCTCGACCAGCTCCGCCTTGTCGGCCTCCGCCGACCAGTTGCCCCCCTCCGGGTACCCCTCCGGGGCAATCTTCGCGGCCGTGGAACGCCACAGCATCGCGTCCGGCACGATGACGGCGAAGTTCAGGACCTCGAAGTCGCGGCACGGGTAGATCACGACGCGGCGCTCGGTGGCGTCGAAGGCGAAGACGGTGGTGATGCAGCCCGGCTGCGTGCGGTCGAGGGTTGCCGGTAGATAGCCCAGGGCGTCGTGGGCCTGGGCGCGCGTGAGGGTGAACCGGAAGATGGAGGAGCCGGCGGGGATGGGGTGGATGTTGGGGACGGCGGGGAGGACGAGCGGGCGGAGGGTGGATTTGATGCCGTCGGCTGCTGTTGGTTTTCCAGGTTAGTTGTCAGGATGGTAGGACTGGCTGGTGGCTACGAGCAGGGAAACTGGAACTACAAACCCACAACCAAATCCGCCCTCACCACCTCCCCGGTACTCAACACCACCTCCCCATTCTCCACCTTTATATCCCTTTGTCCACTACCACTACTACCACTACTACCACTACCACCACCACAGCTAACAACCCCGACCCCCCACCGCACCCTCGCCGGACAGCCCATCACCCCCACCTCCTCCTCCGGCGCCGTCGCCAACCGCAGCAGCTCGTCCCGCAGATCCGCCCGGTGGAAGAACAGCCAGTCCGCGCCGAACTCCCGGCGGTAGTCCACCGTCGTGTCGGCCGTCACCGCCCCGGCTTTGTTGTAGGCGATGGTGCGCGCCCCGGGGATGGCCCGCGCCCGCCGCCGGTCCAGCCCCACACTCTCCAGGATCGCGATCCCGTTGGGCCCGATGTTGATGGCCGCCCCCGTTTCGTTGGCCGACGCGGTGCGCTCGTAGATGGTTACCTGGTGTTGTTCGCGGAGGATGCGGGCCGCCAGGAGGCCCGCGATGCCGCTGCCGATGATGGCGATGTTGAGGGGGGGCATTTTGACACTTTGGTTGGAGATTGGGATGGGGTAGGTTGAGGGTTGAGAGTTGAGAGTTGAGAGGGGTTTGAGGTGTGGTGGTGGTGGTGGTGGTACCCTCCCCCCCTTGCGTGAGGCTGAGGTTGGTTCTGCAAGGTGTGAGGGCTTGGGGTTGTTGGTTGTTGATGTCATGCTGGTGATGCCATATGATAATCTTTACCTTGCGAGGGAGGATTGGTTGTGGTTAGGTTGTGGGGATGCTGAATGCTGGGAGGATGGCATTATAAGATCATAATAAGATGAAGGATTGGACGACATGGACAGTGAGGGGCGACTATCACCACTAGCCTGTCAGTGTGATTATAATGATCATTCCTACACATCGACAACAGACTGGACTTGGTGAGTTTATGCTGTACTTGGCCCCATTAAGTTCATCCCTAGCAAGGAGATGCCGATGATGTACAAGTCTGCCAGTTCAGTGTCCTAGACGTACTGATCCTATGTTAATTCTATCATCTCCATCTGGGCAAGATGAACACGTGGGTGAAGCATCACAGCAATGTCCAGCGATCAAACTCATGCATTTGGCAAGCGACGTTGACGCATGAGATGTTTCGGTCGCTCACTCATGAAGTTCTTCTGTGTTTGAACCTTTCATCCACCGGTTGACTGGTCGCGACATGTTTCGTGTCGGTGACCAAGTTCAGTATGATTGTTGCTTCGTTGATGTCTTCTGCCTTGGACAAGTTAGACATAGGCGTAAGCATTGAATCAGTGGATCAAAAAGCTTACCAAACCTCAAGTCTAGACAATACCCCTAGAATAACTACGGCCAAATGCTGGCAGGAGAAGCAAAGCCTAAGAGTCAAGAAGTAACTGCTGATCCCCATGCAACCAGTCTGCAATCTTGTCATTCCCCGCGAGGGCTATACCTATCACATCGAGGATAACTCCCTACCCAGTAGTCCCCGATCATCTGATGAATCGAGATAAGATCTCTGACCCAACTACCAATCAGATCCTCTGCACCGCTACTTTCCAAGGCAGAAGGCTGGCCGTGGCAACATTGCGTAACGATGCAGGACCAAACAGAATCCGGATTCTTCCCCGCATGGTCCGAGTCTGGCAGTGGCAGAGGATTTCATTGATCGCCCTACCCGGGGTCAGTCGCTCAAGTCCGAACCGCTGGCCAACCTCTGGCCAAGTCGATTGGTCGGTGCCTAGAAGGGGCTGCAGCGAGTCTTCTGGAAGATTGCCTGTCTGATCCATGGCTGAGTCCGCTGGGCAACGTAATCCTGCGTCCACGGTATGGTCGGATGTTCCGTGCCGGGAGGTCGATAGGTATGGCTGGAGTGGTTAGTGGTAAGGAGTGTGGAAGAAGTGTAAAAGGTATAGTATAGTATAGTATCTTATTTCATTCATACTACTCAAAATCAATCCGTCTGTATAGATGCTGTTGTTCTTCAGTGCTCTGCTCAGTTCTGTCTCAGTTGGCAGGGCAGGCACCTCCCTCCTGGCCGTGTAAAGCTGCTGTAACATCGTGTATTGTAACTCTGCCCTACGCCTCGTGCGGCCCCACCGTCTCTCCCAATGGCAGCCAATGCCGAGTGCTGGTGAGCGGGGAAGAAGCCGCATCAGCCAGCCCTGTGAGTCTGCGACAATCTTGCCTTCTGCTGCCCTTTAAATACTACATCTTTCCCCCTCCACCGTGTCAGCTTCTTCTCCTTACAATCTTCTTTTCCCTCTTGACTGTGTCCGGGCCCGTATACACAAATCTCCACCTCAAGACTAGACAGTCTAGGCTCCATTCACCGGGCATAGCGGTAGACAATCGCCCACATTCCGGCTTAACAGTAGTAGTTCACTCGCGGATATTCTTATCCGCTCGCACACCGACACATCGGCTCGCCCCTCCCTTTTGCCCACAGCCTCCTTTCCCAAGCAATTGATGTACTACCAGAACTCGGGATATTCGCAGGGTTGGTCCGGCGGTTATCCTCCTCCTCCTCATCAGGGAAGCTGGGGTCCGCCGCCTCCACACCACAACCAGTGGGTTTACCTGTTACGAAGATAAAGACACGCACGCAGACTAATCGATCCCGCTCTAGATATCCCCCTAGTCCACAATACTATCCTCCTGCAGGACCCCCTCCCGGCCCTCCGCCAGGACACCAATACTCTCCTCCGCCCGGCCCTCCGCCAGGCCATCAGTATCCTCCGCCGTCCGGCCCGCCTCCGTCTCACCACTACTCCTCCTCCGGTGGTTATCCACCCTACCCCTCCCCGGCTCCATCCCCCTACGGCCACCCTCACACTCCGACCCCGCCACCGCAATCCTCATCCCCAGGCCACACCCGATCCTACCACAGTGAGTCCATCCAAAACCCAGAAGTCATCCCCTCCCCCCAATTCTCCCTCTAATGCCACCCCCCTCCGTCCAGGCCACTCCCAATCATGGGGCTCCCTCCCCCCGCGCCCGCCGCAGGAGGCCCAACAGTTCGGCAAGGGCGCCCCCTCCAACTACCGGTTCCAGTACTCGACCTGCACGGGGCGGCGCAAGGCGCTGCTGATCGGCATCAACTACATCGGCCAGCCGAACGCGCTGCGCGGCTGCATCAACGACGTGACCAACATGTCGACCTTCCTGAACGAGAAGTACGGCTACCGGCGCGAGGACATGGTCATCCTGACCGACGACCAGCAGAACCCGATGAGCGTGCCCACCAAGGCCAACATCCTGCGCGCCATGCAGTGGTTGGTCAAGGATGCGCAGCCCAACGATTCGCTGTTCATTCACTTTTCGGGTGCGTGGCCCCCACTGAATAGCTGTGTGTCTGTGTGCGCGTAGAACTGACTGACTGACTGGATCTGTACCAGGGCACGGAGGTCGTACGCCTGATCTGGATGGTGACGAAGAGGATGGTGAGTCTTGCAGGCAAAAGCAAAACACATAGACCCCACGGCATTAACCTGATGAAACCGGCGTCAAGGCTACGACGATGTAATCTACCCCCTCGACTACCGCACCGCGGGCCACATCGTCGACGACGACATGCACGATATCATGTAAGCGAGGCCCTTCACCCTGCATACAAACACACACACCCCCAGCGAGAAAGAGAGAGAACGACAGCTAACCAAACAAAAAGGGTCCGCCCCCTCCAACCCGGCGTGCGGCTCACGGCGATCTTCGACTCGTGCCACTCCGGCACCGCGCTGGACCTGCCCTACGTCTACTCGACGCAGGGGATCCTCAAGGAGCCCAACCTGGCCAAGGAGGCGGCGATGGACCTGTTCAGCGCCTTCCAGTCGTACGGCAAGGGCGACCTGAGCAGCGTCGCGCAGACGGCCATCGGCTTCTTCAAGAAGGCGGCCAACGGCGACACCGCCCGCCAGCGCACCATGCAGACCAAGACCTCCCCGGCCGACGTGGTCATGTTCTCCGGGTCCAAGGATACGCAGACTTCGTATGTCCCTGCTCCTCAGGAAGGAAGGAAATGGCTTCGCCAGACTATGCCGAATACGCTAATTTTTTTCCGACCGATAGGGCCGACACCTTCCAAGACGGCGAGGCGCGCGGCGCGCTGAGCTGGGCCTTCATCAAGTCGCTCCAGCAGCGGCCCAACCAGAGTTACCTGCAGCTGCTGAATTCCATCCGCAACGAGCTGGAGGGCAAGTATACGCAGAAGCCGCAGTTAAGCTGTAGTCATCCGCTTGGTGAGTGGCCCTGCCTGTCCGGGAGTAGGGCAGGTGAGAAAGAGAGAGAGAGAGAGTGTGTAAGTGTTTGCTAATGTTTGGGTGTAGATACCAATTTGCTTTTCGTGATGTGAGACGATGCGATGGATTTGAGGGCCGGGGACGGTGGCATTGGCATTGCATATGGGTTTGGTGTGAGCGATTTCTTCTGTTCTATTCTCAGCACCCCTCGGGGTGGGTATATACACTCTATACAATATACAATATCCAACGATGAGAGCTGTGCTCGTCTATTCACCATCTGACCGTAACGCGTAAAGCTGAAACACCACCACTTCCTACATGCATCCACCCTCCCAAAACATCATAAAGCCACCGCTATGCTCCCATCCACCCTTCGAAAGGCACGAACCACCCTTGCAGAAGGAAACTAAGTATCGACGCCCCCAACCTCAGCGTTCAAAAACCGCACAAACGCATCGGGGATCTCCTCGCTCGTCAGCCCGCCGCCGCGCGCACTGGCATGCGGGCCGGCCACATACGCCCGATTCAGCGTGATCCACTGCCGCCGCCACCGCTGCAGCCGCGGCAGCGCCAGCACGCCGCCGGCGGCGGCCAGCTCCTCGGTGGGCCCGCCGCCGCGGGCGACGTGCGCGGGCACGAACAGCGGCGTCGCCGACGCCGGGATCGGGATCGTGATGCCTTCGTCCCTTCTCCCGGAGGAGGAGGGGGAAGCGGAAGCGGAGGCCGCGAGCGCCTCGTCGGCGGTGGGGTGCGCCTGCGTGAACGCGCGGATGGCCGCGATGATGCTCGAGGTTGTTTTCTCGATGCTGTACAGTGCGGTGGAGGAGGTGGTGGCGGGGAGGGCGGTGGCCTGGTGCGGGCGGATGCGGGGGCGGCCCAGGGGGGTTCTTCCGCCGCCGTTGGCGGTGGTGGTTGTGTAGGTTGAGGGGGCGATGCTGGCGGTTTCGGGATTGGTGAGGTGGGTGTTGGTAAGGGAGGTGGTGGTTAGGTCTAGAAGGGATGTCCGGGGGTGTTGTTGTTGTTGGTCTTCGGGAGATGCGGTGGAGGGGTGCGGGAGGCCCGTCAGGGCGGTCCAGATCTCGGCGATGGGAGGCGAGGCGTCCGACCATGGCACCGTGAAGAGCGGCTTGTCCCATCGGCTGTGGATGCTGGGTTCTTCGTAGCGGAAGATCAGGTTGTTGAGGAGGTCGGTCGGGTAGGGGTCTTCTTTGTCGGTTGTTGGTGCATCGGTGGTGGTGGCCTCCTCCTCCTCGGAGGAGGAGGCAGGTACACCCTCCGCGGCCTTGCGCTGGATCCTCGCCTCGTTGTTCTTCACGCACTGCTCGATCGGCGTGCCCACATGGACCTATGCCCCCGTATCTCAATTAGCATCACTCTCCCCTCTCACCCAGCCTCTTGGAGGGCAAGGACACACACCACACAACTGCTCGTCTTCAGCGCCTTCGCCTCACACCACAACTGATACCGGTACCCCTTGATGTAGTTCATCCCGTCCAGGATCACGAAACTGTCCTTGCCCAGCGCCCGCTTGGCCCGCGCGTACGCCACCCCGCGCGACTCCTTCTCCGTGCGCGCCTGGTCGTAGACCGTGCGCGGGTGCGACGGATCGTGCGTCGGCACCACATGGACCTTGAACCGGGGCTTGGAGTCCGGGAACACCCCGGACGCGTAGAGCTCGTCCTGCGTCGCTTCGAGTTGCCCCGCGAGTTGGTTCGCCCGGTAGGTCAGCCCCGAGCAGGGGTAGCCGGTTAGCACTATGAGCTTTTTTCCCGGGGGAGGTCAGTATTCCGTACGTTTCATCGTAGGTCGGTTGGGCTGAAGAGGGGATATGGGGATTGGACTTACTGGCATGGTGGGCTTGTGCTGGGTTGGATCAATGTTTAGAATTGTCGGATGGTTGGTATGTGTGATGATGCAAGTTGGGGATTTTTTTGCGCGGGGCCGCCGCCGCCGCCGCGGGCGGGCGGTGGGTGGGGTTACATGTGACTTTGCTTTGCGGCACAGAGCTGGACCGGTCTTTTGTCGGTTTCAACTACACTGCGATTGATTGAGATTGTATACTTGTTTACAAAGTGTTTCGAGGCAATGGCAAAATGTATAATGTAGTAGATTGATAAAAGGGGGTATACGCCCGTCTATCCAAGCAAACAATCACTTTTGTATGTACTGTACCATGTACCCCCGCGCAACACCAGCCATGCAACCCAATTCATGTCTCGTCCAGTCCCCGGCCGTCTATTTCAACTCCTCCTCCGTCCACCGGATCTCATATCCAAACACCGTCCTCCGCAGCCGCTCATCCTAAGCCCAAGATTAGCACTGATTCCCCTCCAACAAAGCACGACAAGAAGACTCACTCCCGGATCATTCTCGAACAACACATCGTCCATCACCTTCTCGAAGATCTTGGTGACGTGGAACCCACTCTCCTCGGCCAGCGGGAAGAACTTCTCCGTCTTGGGCAGCAACCACGGCTGGTACGGGGTGAAGATGACGAGGGCGACGGCCTCCGGGCTGCGCTTGAGCGCCGCGCGCATCGTCTGGATCAGGTTCGGGTGCTCGCGGTGGCTGTACACCACGTCGGCCATGATCAGCAGATCAAAGCCCTGGCTCCGGGCGGCTTCCGGGAGATAGGCGAGGAGCGGCGCGACGGAGGCGCCCCATTTGTACCCGTCCACATGCAGCGCGGAGTCGCGGCCGACGAGCGCGGCCGACAGCCCCGCGTTGTGGCGCATGTTCTCGACCAGGTCGACGTCCGGGTAGTCGGTCATCACGGCGGTGCGGGCGCCCAGGATGGCGCTGACGATGCTGGGGACGCCCGCCGCGGCGCCGATCTCCAGCACGTCCTTCCCCTTGACGAGTCGGTCGGCGTGTTCTTCGAGGTAGTGGGAGCTGGTGCGGCCGGCGTTCCAGAGGAGGTTGCCCTATCAGAAAGAGAAAAGGTGAGTTTGGCGAAAGAAGTCGAACAGAATTGGGGGGATATACGTAGAGCGGATGGTTGCCCACCAGGCGGACGCGCACCGTCTGTCCAGACAGCATGTGATGCTCCGCAAAGGTGGGCTCCGGTTCGGGCTCGTAGAACCCCTCCGGATCCTGGAACATGTCCCCGGTGTCGAAATTGTCCTCGTCCACCATGGTTTCGGTCGCTCGCTGGGTCAAGTGGTGGTCCAGGATGCGAGGGGCATTGCGGGCGACCGATTCGGATGCAGGCGCCCTGCGCTGATAATTTCTCGCTATCGCGATAGTGTCGAGTGGAGCTCGTCCGTAGTGGGGGATGTCCTTTCTGGGTTTAGCTTAATCCCCAAAGGTCACATGATACCATGTGACCTGAGCCGAGGTAGCGAGTCCGGACAGCCTTCACGGTGCTTGCAGTGCAGTGGGTTGCGCAGCAAATTCCATGAGGAAACAACCCCGCGTGGAGATGCGGACCGGGTAAAAGTCGGACACGGTATTTCCCTTTTGGGCTCTTTTGGCTCTTTTGGCTCTTTTGGCTCCAACAGTGATTGTTCCAACAAGGCAATCTTGGCGATCTTCAAGGACTTGCTGGAACTGGTTTAGTCCTGCTACTTAAGTTCAGTCTATTCAGGCCTTGGACTCCTTTCAATCAATCATCAATGATCATTGATTGCTCAAGGAGAAGATTGGCCTTGCAGTGGACGAGGTATGTAACAGTACCTTGCGTCAAAAGTACGTATGCCTTCTTTACCCGGGGTGCATGGATAATCTACCAAGTACTGGACTGGACTTCCACCGCATAAAAGCTGGAGAGTTGACTTCGGGATTCTGGGGTTGGGCTTGGGTTTGGGACGGTTTCATCATCATCACCCAGTCGTTGAAGTTCTTTCTTATCGTTGACTTTCTCGTTGGAGATTTGCCGGACGTCATACCGCGGTCCATCCGGTCAACCGCCCCACGTGTTGCTGGGACTGGGGACTTTTTTTTTCTCTCTGGCTCAGTCTATTCTTTCTACTTAACTGCATCACTGCTGCTTCCGCTGCTTCTCATCACGCCATCCCCTCCCTCCTTTTTCAAGGCTGAGAGGCAGCTAAAATCTCGACTGGACTCCACCGGATCAGTCCACGCACTTTGCAGAGATAGGGTGAAAGCAGCCCTGTAGTGTACGGAATACAGTACACAATCCTCTTTGTTACCTGTTAGATAGTCGTCAGCCTTTAGCCGTCTTTCACTTACCTTATCTTCATCTCCATCTCAGCTTATATCAACTGCCATCTTACATCTACACCTGCACTTCACCTACACCTTTACCTACAACCACCATCACCACCACCACCTACATCATCACCTCATCCAGCCCAACCGCTACATCACAAGTATCGATAAGAATAATGGCAACCCTCAACCCCTCCCAAGCCCACCCCCAAAACCTCACCACCACCTCTCCGGCCAGCTCCGTCCCGCAACCCCCCAACCCCCTCAACCTAGCCGCCGCGGCCGCCATGGCCGTCACCAGCACCAGCACCAACACCACCAGCACCAACCCCTCTCAACATCCCACCGAACCGCACGAAACCCACCACCATCACCACCACCAACAACACCACCTAGACCCCTCAAACCACACCGACAACTACCCGCACCAGATCACCGGCTCCGGCGGCCCGACCGCCACCGCCCCGTTCCTGCGCGACTTCAGCCTCGTCGCGGAGGCAGCCAAGCGGGCGCAGATGTCCGTCATGGTGCGCGATCTGGAGGGTGTGACGCTATAGAAATGGCCGTCAGAATGACGTGCATAGATCTGGGTCCTGCAAATACGGCCAGAACTGATTCTTATTCTTTTCCGTTCAAAAACTGGTTAGATTTCGGTGCAAGGATGAAGTGTGAGGCGCGCGAGGTGAAGGGACAAGGATCGGAGCGATCAAGCGACAAACCGGTGGTTACTTTAGAGTCAAGGGCTGGATTTCCTCGACTCGCGGGGGCAAAGCGCCCAGGAGATGCGAATTAGAAAGAGAGGTGGAGATGGGGAAGGTCATCGATGGATGCGATGCGATGCGATATACTTCCAGCGGAATCACGATCCAAGCCCAAGCCCAAGCCCAAGCCCAAGCCTAAGACCCGGACCAGGGTCAGGGCCAAAGGTTCCGCCAATCCACCAGCGCAAACCAAAAACCAAACCCAGTCAAAAACATACCCAACAGAACATCAACACCCACGACCAACCGGACAAATGAGCAGATACATACATATATCCTTCATCCTCAGACCCTCCCTGACAACCACCTCCCGACCCCCCCACCCCTCCACTTTCCAACCCAGCCCCCTGATGCACCATACCTGCACTAGTCAACTAATATCCCTCCCCTCATTTCTTTCTGCCCAACAATCCGACTTACATTGGCTCCTATGTTCCGGAAACATTTCTTCTGTTGTTCAATTCTCAAATAATAATGGCGCATACGTGTGGAATGGTGGATTGCTAGCGGAGCCTGGAAACATCCGGCATGAGTACGAGTACGAGCATGAGTATTTCTTGGGGCGTTGGACTTTTCTGTTCCTTGATGTTCCAGGTCTGGAGGACCTGGCTTTAATGTGGTAGCTGAGCGGTAGCGGTGGGATAGATGATACACGAGAATCCGAGTTGTTTCTTACTCTAACGCATACTCAAGTATGATGCGGTGCGGTAGTGTAGTGGACCTTTGTGGGAGTCTTGTTGACCCCTTCCAAAAAGCATGGGGTATTTAATGGTACGGGTATGGGGAAAGGGCCAGGGAAAGGGTAGCATAGTATACAGAAACCTTCCCGAGTCAACCGTTGCGTCTGCATTACAACGCGGTGGGTCAAGTAGCACCACCACCACCACACCGCTGGACGGGAGTCTGGAGTACAGTCCACATATCGAAATCCAGGTCCTTGAAAAAGCGGAGGGGGAGGGGAGTGTCGCAGGGTAGGTATACTACACCCACGACAGCCAGATCTCACTCCGGTACCCTGGACTACCTTTACCTCTACATCTACCTCCAACCAATACTAAAGACAACCCCCGAAGAGGGTAGGTAGGTAAATTGGCATCCAGTCCAGGCTGGACTGAATTGCGATCCATAGGCGCATGTATGGACAGTACATATGTGTGTTGGTGGGAAGAACAGTACTTCCATGCATCAGGTCAGTCAATATATCAGGCGCGTCTTCAATACAGCCAGACCGGAGCCAGCAGGGCCAGCAGGGCCAGTGGATGGAGGGGGGGGGGGGGGTCGATGCTGTGCTTGGTGTACATGTCCTGTACATGTACATGTGAGGTACACACGTGTACCTAGACAGACTTACAGAGCTGGGTGGGTTTGGGATTTGGATATCCAGTCAGTCCTGCGGGGAGTCGGTGTTCTGGGCCTAGCTGTATATCTTTTTGTTTCGCTTTCGGATGGAGGAAGCGGTAGTGGAGTACTGTACTGTGAATACTAGGTAACCCCTGGCTGTGGTGATCGGGTGGGTTTGACGGTTTCGGTCAGATTGGGTTGATGAATCCTGCCCTCATCAGATAAAAGCCATGCTACCGTACCTAGTAACGATACCTCAATGCTCAACCCAAGCCGATTCATTGTGAAGTATGTGAACGAAGTTCTCGAATCTATCTATCTAACAAGTACAACCCCCCGAAACGGGACCGGGCCGTGCGGATTGAAAGGAGCACAGCGGAAAGGGGGTATGCCATACACACAACGCATCATGCAAAGCTATGTAAGATGTAAGGGTCGGTGGTATGGCCGAATATGATGGTATGTATGTACATGAAAAAAAAAAAACCATATGGTGGATGTTGCCTGTTGCCCACACCACCAAAAAAAAGCGTACTCGTACAACTCGAAGCAAACAAGTGTATAAATAGACATGCATGCGTTGTCTGGTTTTTTTTGGGGCATGTTTGTCCCTGAGGGTTGAGGTGGTGGCAAGCACTCATGTGATAGGTGGTCAAGAAAAGAAACGCAAAAGAAAGCACGGACCGAGAAATGATCAACACCAAACGCCGAGCTAATGCAGATGACAAGATCCCCAAGATTAAAGGAGAGAATTGAAATAAATCGGATCGAAAAAGGGGGGGGGATATCGAAGAGTAGAAAAGGAATGACTTTTAGACCAGATATTATGGTATAAAAATGGTAAGGTTCGACGGTAAAATGGTAAAAGGATCGACTAACGGCCGCCTTTGGCTCGCTGAACTCCGAGGGAAATATGCATTTTTCGGGTTTCGTATGTGTGTGTGTGTGTGTGTGTGTGTGTGTGTGTGTGTGTGTGTGTTTGTGTCTGTGCGTGTTCTGGGTCGATTTAGAATTGAGGTGGTGGTATGAACAGGCGTCACGTGGAATGAGGAGGGATTCGGATTGACAAGGTCATCTGATGCGAAGTATATGGTGGTGTGATGACGGCGCAGCATTTGGAGAAATTTTAGATCTGCGTCGAGGCTCCGATCAAATTCGGCTGCGAGATGCTCCCGACCTGCCCCGGTCTGAACTTCTTCTTGCGCGAGAAGCTGATGCTCAGTCGACGGCTGAGTCGGCGGACCGGCGGGGTCCAGGCTTCAGTCGAGAGAATCGACATGGGGCGAGATTTCGGGGGCTGCGGATGGGCCGGAACCGCGTAGTAGTCCATTGTCGTCGGGCTGGCGATGGAGGTGCTGGACATCACCGCGTCCTCGTCAATCCCGAAGAAGGATTGGCGCCGCCGGCTGAGGACCTTCTCGCTGGTGCTCTGGAGGGACATGTCTTCCACAATATCGTCGAGGGCGTGGGAGAAGCGCCGCAGGAGCTTGGGCTTCTCGCAGATCGACGGGGCGCGCTGCTCCAGGCCGTACATCTGCAGCGGGGTCGACTCGGGGACATCGTCCCTCACGGGGGTGGAATAGTAGCGGGGGATCTTGTAGTGTTCCGGTCGACGACGAGGGGCGGGCGGAAACCAGACATGGTGATGCGGAGATTGTTGGGAGACGGGGCTTCCGGAGTAAGAGGAACGAGATGAATCGGTGGAGGCGGAGGTCAACATCCTTCTATTTCCGGCAGTGTGTGTGTATGGATGTTTGTGTTGGGTATGGTGGGTAGGTGGGTGAGTGGGTGAAGAGAAAGAAAAGAAACGAAAGGAAGATATTGATTGTTAGGGGAAGGAAGAAAAGAAAGTTGCAACACGGATATGACGAGGGAGGCTGAAGAACGATAGTAGACTAGAGACGATAGACTGGGGGAGGAGTTGTAGCAGCAGCAGGGGGGTTGGTGGTTAATTGACAAAGTGGACAGAGTAGGTAGTAGGGGTAGCAACGAGAACGAGAGGATGAGACCAACTCTCAAACGAGTCAGATGGTTCGTCTGTACTCGGTGTCGGGGGACTATAATTATAGCAGTTTACGGTAGCAAAGAAAGGACGAGAAAGAAACTAAAAGGAGAAAAGTGGGGGCATCCGGAGGATTCACGGCTTCACTGGCCCAAGACGGATGGAGATGGATCCAGTTATTCGCAGTGAACTGCCAGTGAACTGGTACCAGTGGTAATTCGGTGTAATTGATCGGTACCAACTACGCGAAGTTGCCAGTGATGGGCCTGGTGGGCAGGAGAGAAGACTCGATGGGATATGCGGATATGCTTAGGAAGCGGACTGAATGAGGAGAATTATCAATCAGATCACCTCTCAAGATCTGTCTCGTACATGTATATGTACTATGTACTTAGTATCCATACTACATACATACTACTAGGCACTCTAGCCGCCTGACTGCGCCGTTTGCCGTGGGTAGGAAGCAAGCCGATTGGGGTGAGCCAACCGCCTTGACTGGCTCAGTGACGCGGCAATTGGTCGCCATGTCAAACACGGTTCTATGGTTAGCTACTCTGGCTGAAACATGCATGGACGACATCGTTTGATCCGCTTGTCGACACGCACTCAGGTGATGAATAGATCTCAGGAGACTGCGTGGATGTGTGGAAGTGGTGGGAGTGGTGGAAGTGATGGATTTGGAGGTGTGTGTGTGTGTGTGTGTGTGTGTGTGTGTGTGACATCAAAGTGGAGGAAGACAAACAGAGCAAAATTATTGTAGCATTCATTGCATACTCGGACTAACTGCGAACTGCCTTACCCTAACCACCCTGAACTAGTACTGTATCCCATTACCATCACATCACTCTTCCTTACCCCTCGTCCCGATCATACTGATTCCTTACCAGTGTGACCAACCTGGCGATGCTGCGCTCAACCGAAGGAAATCATCAAGAGTCAAACTGGGGCGGGCCCCGAGACTAGTGAGTAGTGTCGAGCCAGCCACATTGCCCGCTGCGATGCAAGGTGAAACATGATTTGACTCGCTAGTGTCAAATCGGTTAAAGCGCAATGATCTCATCGGCCGCAGGGGCAGGCCCGCCGGGGCGGGGAGGGGAGAGGGGGGGCATGTGCAATGCATTGCACTAGCATTGGTCTGTTTTCTTTCTTTCTTTTTTTTTTCCTTTCTCCGTACTGCCAGTCTGGCACTGCTGCAATATTCGGAAGTCATGTACGGTACGGGCACCCTTCTCCAGCCGAATGAAATGGCGTGCTTGAGAGGACCTTGGGACTTGGGTGTACTGTACCCGAGCACAGTATTGAATCAATTTGCTCAGCCAACCTTCAACTTTTGAAACTGATTCCCCGGTCAACCTGCGGTTCGCCGATCACGGCAGCTTATTATTGACATGATCCTCCTGTTGGCTAACCTATGTGCGGCTCAATGAGCTCCCTCCATTGTTCCACGGGGCAGAGTTGTGGTGTGTTGATTCTCTTCCTATACAACGAGAAAAACAAAGTAGCTAAAAATTTTTTTCCACAATCCACTTCCTCATTCACCGTCTCTTCGTATCCAAACTTCGGCTCACTCACCGGTAGTTCCCACCAGCAAGATCTAATAAATCGAAACACAATGGCCATGCCCGACAGCTCGGGCGTTCATCAAGGGCCGGGAATGTCCCATGTACTCCGTAGAAGCTCAGACATGAGCTTGAATTTTCCCTCATTTTCCGCGTTCTTCCTCGGCTGCATCGGATTTAGGCAGAAGCATATACCACTGGACAAGGGACGGAAAGGCCGTCGTCCAATTCACGAAGACAAAAAACCCAGAAAAAACAAACAAACAAATAAATAGCCGCCGCCGCTCCACAATCGTCAATCTAGTAAAGTCTCCACCGTACAAAGAGTCAAGCACTTCGATGGATCAATCCTATTCCTACCGTATCTTTGCTCCCCGGAGAAAAAAGTATGGGTCAATGGACGAATGACGCGTTACTGATTTGCATGTCATATTGTCAATCCGTGCCGATTGACATACACCACGGTTGTCGTCTCCGTTTGTGGTGGCAAGTTCTGCGATCTTGGATGGTTGTATAATTGGTGGACGCCGATGAGAAGCCCTAATGTGGCACACGGCGTCCCATGGCTATGGTTGATGGACGAGGCGTCTTCCCGGACGTCTGGAACTCAGCCACGACCGTTGCTGTCGCGTACAGTCAGTCCACAATCACAGACATTCATGACAGTTCTAGAAACTTTGCGGCGGGAAATCCTATCAACTGATGGTCATCATAGCCGACAATACCTACGGTAGCTCTCATGTCAGATACATGGATACACACGATTGAGCAGATCTTCGCCACTAGATCGGAAGCCAGGCTCACCAAAACCCCCGGTTTGAACGCAGACATCTTCGTCGGCCGGTGCTATATTTGGATCCGTGGACCAACGGATGGCGTCAACGTAAGCACAGCCATAGAATCGACTTCCCTCCAGTAGTGTGGCTACCACGTCAACACGATGATGATGATGATGATGATGATCCGTACATTCAGCGTCGTCGCAATGCATCAACGAACTGTAGTTACAGATGAGTAGCACTCGCACTTGAGGCTGCATCAGCCGGACCCCACTGCCGTCGATCATCTGGAGCGCAAAGACGCGCGCGCGCGCGTGCAGGCCGTCAGTCCGTCACGCACAGTCCATGA